ATAGATACAGAAAAGAAATCGGACAACCCGATGATGGAACGGGTATGATTAGTAATAGGCACACTGGCTCCCTGCTGTGGCTCCTGAGGAGGACACGGTCACATACATAGACCCCTGCACAGAGTGCACAGGTGGAAAATGATCACGAGGTGATAGCCCGTACTCTTTGAACATGTCCACACCACACAGCACAAAGACAGCCCAGGAACGGTCCCAGATGAAAGCACGCCGAAGAGACTTGATGATGAGATGCACTGGGTGGACTGGTGTCATCCTCGATAGGAAAAGGTGATAAAGGACACTAGGGGCAGCACCGGAATATGGGCTGCAGAGGAAAGCATGGGTACCCTGACTCTGCCAACTGTATGGCAGTTGTGTTAGACATGCATAGTGAAGTATTAGGGCACATGTGCTGTCTACTCCCAAATATTCAAAAAGATACATGGCTGTAGGTCTGAATATACATTTGGGCAGGGGAAGAAGGATAAAAATAAGTGAGAACGTGAGACCAAAATGGGCCACACTGAGTAACGATATAAGGATAAGGCCTCAAGACAAAGTTCAGAAGACGTTGCATTCAGGAACTCCCAAAATATGACGGCCTGAATCCGACCAGCAATAATGACAATACCAGCTATCATGCCAATGTTGGTGGGGCAAATTCCACATGGCCTCAGCCCTAGGTGGAGAGCTACAGGTGGCCAATAGCTGCCAAGAGATGAAGAATCTACTCCAGGACGAAGCTCCCACATAGGTTGCCCAGTCTCGAGAGGTCAACTCTACACACATGTACATATGAGCAATGCTAAATGGACTCAGTAGGCTAAACACTCAAAGGTGCACACACATGCACACAGATATTCACACATCTGTACACATAACAATAATAAAGAAGGGAACATGAATTTGGGAGGTGGCATAGGGGGAACTGGAGGGAGAGGAAGGGAAGGAGTGATACAGATCCAGGGCCCACGTATGAAGTTCTCAAAACTATTAAAAGGCAAAATGAAATAGACAACACAGATACAACACACACACACACACAGAGAGAGAGAGAGAGAGAGAGAGAGAGAGAGCGCCAAACTATGCACAGTTGCCAGAACAACGCTAAGTGGTACTGATGTTCATCTTGCTTCAGTGAGGAGAAAAGTAAGCAACTCACCTTTTGATTAATCCAAAATAGGGGCAAGGAACTCAGGCATTTTGTTGGGCTCACTGTGGTGATCAGCATGGTTAATGTCTGCTCAGAAGGCGCTAAGTGGTCTGAAAGGTGTTCCATTTGCATACCCTCCAGGCTTCTTGGGAAGAAAGGTACTCTATCCCACTGGTACATGAAGAAACTAGAATTTGTCCAACCAGTATAGAGAGTGAGCAAGTGGCAGAAATCAAACGAGCTATCATGAGGCTGGTGGGCTGTGCTACCGCTGCTAAGCTAAAGGTGTTTGCGAGCTACTTATTAAGACTTCTCCAGGAATCAAAGACGAATCCCAACTTAGATGAGATCCTGAAGCTAATAATACAACAGTAATACATGCCTGGATAAGTAGATTCTGTGCTAATTACAGCCAGGGCTCAAATGAGCAAGAACAATGAAGTGGCAGCTTTTGTCCCCACCCTGCACTTGAATGCTCTCTCTTCCAATGGCTGAACTTTCGAATAAATCTTTTCTTGGAAACAAACTGGATACCACTCTAATATAAGCAGGGTGCTATCCCAGACCTTAGGTAGGCTGAGGCAGGAGAATGATGGCTTGGACCCAGGAGTTTGAGTTAAGCCTGGGAAACAGGGAAACTTTGCCTGAAAAACTAAGAACACAGTTTATAAATATGCCACTCAAACCAGTGAAGTCATTGAGCCAAAATTAATAAATCTATTTAAAATATAACCAAAAAACCTGCCTTCTTGTTTACCTGTTAGCATAGAAGATGAAAGAAAATAAAAACTAGAAAAATCACTAACATTTGTCCTTGTGAACATTTTTCTTTGTAGTGCTGAAGATCAGGGTCAGGGTTGTGCACAGGGGATCTACGCCAGGGCTAAACACACAGGAAGCAAATATTCTACCAAGAGGCAAGAGAGCCAGCCAGCTTTGTGACTATAAACTCTGAATTGCAAATGCCTTCATGTGTCAAAAAATGTGGAGCCCCAAACAAAAGGTCAATAATATCATATCTATCTGGACCTCCAAACTTCTACTCAGGCTTCTTGCTGAAGAAATCCAAGGGAAACAGCTCAGCAATCTGGGACTGACACTCATCACCAGCCACCTGTCCTTCATGCCTAATGGCAAATGACCTCATAAAGCACTTGGCCTCATTTCAGGTTTCTCTTCTTTAATTTATTTCCTATTCATTAATGTAAAGTGGTATGACGTTAGTCCCGACTTCTCAATTTAGCATAGAATCGGCAGTTCTATTTCATTAATGATAATCCGCATCTTTGCGACATGTGGCATTACAGGCACCGTCTGTCACCTGTGTCCTCATTGCTCATCCAGAGTTAGTGTCTGAACATGCCATTCCTTTCTTCCCACTGAAAGATGAATGGCTATCAACACAAAAGCATAAGCTCAAAATACTTGTGTCTGCTGTTGGTTTTAGCTGGGGGGGGAATCTTATCATTTGATACTGGATGCTCTTCCCGAACTTTAATGTATTTTTAGCCATGGAAAACCCTTGAAAAACCTGATGCCCATCTTATACAACCATTTAGACCTATGCAACCCCTGCAAACAACTGAACTAGAATCTCTACAGGTAGGACTCAGCAATCACTCTTTCCAGAACCTTCTCCTTGATTCCACTGTGTAGTCAAGATTACAAATCCCATTTCCACCAAGAAGTGAATCAACTTCTTGACAGATAGAACAGTCAACTTGTAGACTGACAGACAGAAAGAATGCTCAAGGAATTTTTGACATCTATCTAATTGGTTAAGAAATGCACAGTTCAGTGGTGACCAGAGGGAGGTGTATGGGAGCACAGGAAGTGGCAAATGAGTGAAGAGTCATGACCTGTGTCAGATGAATATGGCATGCAGCCGAGTCGATCTGAGACAGAGGAAGGCCCTCCCTATCAGAGAAGCTGCACAGCTAAGGGAGCTGACTCTGGCAGGGTGACTGGGGCAATGGGAAAGTGTCCACTGCAGCCAGAAAGCAGAGAGGTGACTGACTCAGTTTGTAGGATGTCCACTCTTTCTCAGACAAGGCATGAGGGAGTCTCCATGGAGAAATAAGCAGTCCACTGGGAAGACTGATTGACAGAGTCAATCATCATGTCTCAGACACTTCTAAAACTCAAGCTGACTGATAGAACACTGTCCAGGTAAAAACGTACATGATAGCAATTTACTTTCTAGTTTTCTATAAAGAGAGAAACTAGAGTTGAGCTTGCTGAAAATAAAATGGATCTTGTTTGGGCGGAACCTCTTAGAGGGGAATGTGGGCAGCCCAAGGGCTTGCCAAATTCCCTGCTCCTACAAACTCTGCCCAGCTGCCTGGCTGCTAATCTCATAAACACAGCACCTTTTGCAGGCGCCACCTACTTACTTTGCCTGTAAAGCCTACTCATAACTAAGCAGTACAGCTGCCATGGAACAATCTTTTTGTACACTGTGACTATCTGTTACTCTCAGTGTTCTAATAAAGGGATGAATGGCCAATAGGAAGGCAGGAAAAGGTTAGGTGGGACTTGCAGACAAAAAACAGAGTGTGGTGAAGAAGAAGGCAGAGTCGCAAGGAGATGTCGAGAGAAGCAAGATGAACATGCGGTGTTGAAAAGGCACTGCCGCATGGTAGAGCAGAAATAAGAAATATAATTAAATTTAATCTGTAAGAGTTAGCTAGTAACAAGTCTAAGTTATTGGCTGAACATGTATAATTAATATTAAGTCTCTGTGTGGTTATTTGGGAGCTGGCCAGAGGTCCCGATGGAAAATTCCACCCACATATAATTCTAAAAGACTAAGTTTTAGGCCACAAAAATTCTCTTTCCTATAATACTTTTGGAAAGGGTTTTTTTTATTTAAAAAAAAAGTTTAGTGAGCAACTGAAGACTCCTAAGAATCAAAAAGCTACCAAAGCATTTATTCATTCATTAAGCACTGTTTGAACAAATACCATTTGCTACTATTCTAGAATATGGCAAGAATCCGTTTTCAAATATGTAACTTGCCTAACATTGTAGACAAGTCTGTCAAAGCCAGAACAGTAGTCTAGCTTTGCACAATTTATAGTTAGATGGTTAAAATATCCTGCAATAACTTTTTAAAAAGTGGAAAAACAGGTAAGTTAATAACTTTATTTGATGACCTTTCAAACCTAGAAGACAGCAAATAGTAATATATTTGTTTTTAAAAACTGATTTATAGGCTACCCCTACTAAAATTTTATTAAGCAAAGTTTATTTATTTATACATTACAAGTTCAATTCTCACCACAGAATTTACTCAACAAAACTAAGTGCAGTGACATCCCTGAGCCAAACAGAGATTCCAGTAAGGTGACAGGGAGACAAGGTGGGCAGTGTCCACATGTAAGTAGAGCAATGAGGTCATGCCAGTGCTAACAGACTACTTGAGAGGAGTGGCATGCCCAGGTATGTGACCTTCTAAACAGATACTTTTATGCTCACTTGTGAGACAGCACCTGGTGTTGCTCCAGCCCAGTCTTTCACAAAAGCATTGCTCAGGCTGGACCTGGATTACTCAGATGCTCACGAATGTGGAGCTCCTGGATTGGCTTCACATAGTGCTCCGATTCCAAGACGGAGAAGTTCTTCGTGTGAAATTTTCACCTTATAAACACCCAGCTCCATTACTTACAAATATCTATGACAAAATGGAGCTATCATTTATTAAAATAATAATAAAAATCACACAAAAGTGTTGGTAGGCTAGAAAAAATACAGGAAATATAATAAGAAATATTTCTATTTCCTGCTACAGAGACCAAAGAAATCAACTCTTCCTCCTCTCTCGGCGGCACGTCTTGCCAAGTCTTACCTGCATAATGTACGGGGATCTCTATCTTTGGCCCAATGACATAGTGACCTTCCTCCAGGCTATGGGCAGTGATGGTGGTCCACTGCCGGCAGGAATGGATCAGCAGGTAGTCATTCTCCCGCAGCCCTTCCACGCATTCTCCTAGAAAACACAGTTTCATAGAAGACGGTTGGAATTCATGTCAGCTTACTCCACATCCTACAGTGAAATTTCTTTAGTTGAAGCTTGCGTGGGTTTAGGGAGATGGCGTAGTCTGAAAAACACTTGCCACACAAGCGTTAGGACCTAAGTTCAATCCTCAGCACAGGGGAGGCAGAGGCAGGAGGATCTCCGGTGTTTACTGACCAGCCAGTCTCTACCCAATGAGCAGGTGCCTGGCCAGTGAAAGAACTTATCTCAAAAAATACGGTGATGCTCTGGGTGTCCCTGCTCCCACTGGAGCTGGAGGCCATGCGAGCCTAGTTTTGTTGCTGCCATTTCTCAAACAACCAAACAAAAAATTGCTCAACTTAGGAAAAAGGGTAGCATTACCTTCCTGCCAGCCACACACACACACACACACACACACACATACACACACAAAGAGAAAAAGAGAGATTTTATTTATTAACAAATTGACAATTCATAACACAATATTAATTCCTTAAGTTGGAAAAAAAGGAGGAAAGAAAGATATAAAGAAAAAAGGTTTTTATGCCAAGTTGAAAATTATACACAAGGTTCCATACAGGCGTTTTCCATTTATTTGGCAAAATGGTATTTACATACATCATCATATCTAAATGGCTGGGACTTGATGACAAACATCACTCAGTGTGTACAGCAGGTACTGCTCAGATGATGTTTAGTCATTTCATGGAAGATGAAGACATTGTTCCTTCCCAGGTGAGGGAAACCAAGATCCAAATATGAAGTGATATGTCTAAACTCAGAGGTTTAATGAGTGGAAAAGTGGGATTCAAATGTAGACCAGAAGGTGCCAAAACTTAGCTCTGTAGCACTACAATAAAACTATCACAAACAAACTTTGGTCTGTTGAAGGAGTGTTTGACATGAAATTCATATATTCCTTTTAAGTCCCACACATTCATCCGCCAGTTCTCTGGCTTGCCACCAACCCTCCCAATCAATTAAGCATAATGAAGCTTTATAGCATCCAAATGGAATTATTTCGCACTTAAATACTCTCTGAAGTACCTTTTTAGCTTTCTGAAATGATGACAAACTATTTCAAAAGGGAAATCCACTCCTTCAAATGTAAAAGATGTTTTTCAGATGCTGTCAAAATCCAGCCTATTAAGTTGGGTTAGTCATTCTAAATTCCCAATGAAAGTATCTGCCGAGGTTAATTCCTTCATAGGGAAGACAGTCTTCTTCATTTTTCATGCAACTTTACTGCAATAATTAAGAGGTATTAGTGATGTCATTGTATGTTTTGAAATGACATTTGCAGACCACTCTAAAAAGAAAAGATTCAGTACTTTTCCATCATTAATGAAGCCGGTAATGGTTACTCAGTCGTCACAACCATAGCTAACTGGCTTCTACACCAATACCATGATGATCCTTGAAACAGTTTTGATGCAAGAATATTTTATCTTTGAGCATAGAAAAAAAAGATTTAAATACTTTATTTAGAGGGTGGGAATGACCTGGAAGTAGTGTTCATTAGCAGGGTGGGAAGGGGGTGGGGTTCCCAGACTCCCTTGCACCTCATGCTTGGGGAGGACTAGGCTATTTCATAATAACATCTCCTGGGGCACTCATCAGCCCTTCACATTCCCCAGGCTTATGAAGGCAGGAAGAAAAAGCTCTAGAAGCTTCATCCAAAGGAGATAATAAGCAGTATCTACCACAGCAACCTCCAGGGAGGCAGAGCCTGCAGCGGGTGTGCTCAGTAGACCTACTCTCTCCAGCAGCTGTGCTCCAACGTGTGGTCTCGGGCGGGACCTCTGCTTCTCACTGACAAGATGGGTGACCAACCCTACTTCTCAGAGAACAGGCAGTGACAACAAATGGAAGGAATCATGACCCAATCTGATCTGTTAGGACTCATCACTTCAGCCACTAACTTTTGTTTTCTGGTCTAAATATTAATCCAACACTGTAATTTTAGCTCATGCTCTTCTTTAACAGGGAAGGAAATGACCTTCAGAGCAGTCAAGAAGTTTGCTTGGAGGTGTACAGCTAGTTTAGTAGGAGACTCTATATTTCTTCCTTCTCTTCTGTCACCACATTGGCCTTACCTGAAAAACCACTGGCAGTAACCCAGGAAACGGAGAAGCTGACTGTGGGCTCCCAGTTCATTCACTGATTCACCCAGAACAGCCAGCACGCTGCTGAGCATCTGGGACTCACACATCAGTGAGCTAAATACACACCTCGGGATCCAGCAGGGAGGGGGCGGCCATGCCACCAAGAACAGTGAATGCTTTCATCACCAGAGAATTATAAGAGAGGTGCAATGGAAAACAGGAAAAGTTTATTAAGGGGATCATGAAAGTATTACAAAGGGGCCACATGTCTGAGGGGGCAGGCTGCACGCTCTTCAAATTTCAAAATATACTTTATTCATTTATCCAAAAAACTTTTATTTTTCATTTCCTTATTTGTTTACATACTTATTTTGTGTGTGTACGTGTACGTTAGTGCCCAAGTGCCATGATGTCTGCACCCACTTAATTTGTACTGCTTTTTTATTCTATGAGCAGGCAATGGAGGAGTTGGCAGAAATATAAAGGAGACTTGGTGCTGTCGTTTCAGAAGCTCACAGTATGCCCACGTGTAATTAGTGGGAGGGAGCACAAGATCTATGCTGTGTAAAGAGATATGCGATCTAGACCGAACCTAGAATGTCAGCAGAGATGAAGGCAGCATTAAGGGGAGAGCAGAGCCTCTGGGCTCATGAGGAAGAGATGGGAGCCTTCCAGGAGCCAGGAGTGAACACCACCACTCAGGGAACACGAGTCTGGAGATATTACTGAAAGCTGCATTGGTGAAGGGAGAAAACCAAGTCCTGGGGCCCACATGGGAAATGCAGCGGGAGAGCACACTGTCACTCAGGGAGAGAAGAAAAATCTGATTTTCACCAAGTGAATTGTATCATAAAGAATGTTTTAATTTTATTCCACAGTGGGATAAAGTGGCACCCGAAAAACCACTGCAGCAAAGTCATTCAAAACGGGAACATAGAGCTCAGTCCTGCGCTTGCTGCTGTAGCAAACACTAGGAAGAGCCAGGAAGACTTTCGGAGCCATAAAGTAGGCAAAAGCAATGCCTCTTTTTGAGCTTATGTCTTATTTTATTTTTTTAACAACTGCTGTGTGTGCCTGCTTTAGGCAAAATAAGTTTTATGGAATTTGTCTGGAAATAAAACAATACAATAACTTAAAAAAATATCTCAGGGTAGGTCACTAATAAAGATAGGGAATTAAATGAATCCACAAAGCAAACATCCTTTTGTGATATATTACCTGGTGCTTAACAACGATGTCTAATGCAATACATTTTATAGCTCATGCTGTAGTCATGGGAAGCCTAAAGGAAGTGGGTGTTACATTCTAAAACATGCAAACATCCTGAAATTACTCTGAGCTAAGACGCTTCAGGATGCACCCCATTTGCTTGCTTTGACCTTGCTCCCCTCTATAGTAATCTACGTATTCCTGTTATGATATCCGTACTTTTTTTTTTAACACTGGGCAGTTTGAAAGCAAATCTGCTTTAAAATAAGGCTCAATTTCAAAATCCAAACTAATCATTTATGAGTTTGACAAGAGAAATGAATAATTGCCCTTCTGCCTTTTGGCTTATGGTACAAAGCACCCTCCCAAATCACCATCTCTGTCACTTCTCCCGGCATCTCCCCCGTCACCATCTCTGTCTCCTCTCTCAGTGTATCCCCCCTTCACCATCTCTGTCACCTCTCAGTGTCTCCCCTTTCACCAGCCATTACAGGGGTGGGAAAGATTCAGCCTAAGCCTGCTCCTTTTTGTCTCCCTTAGCTACAGGTCGCTCTCCAGCTCATGGTATCAGTTGTTAATTTCTATGTAGAGCACCTAATCTAAGCTTACTTTCCATACCTCTGAAGGGACGCCTCTCTCCTGGTCATGTGTCATTCACCACACAACCATTCAGTGACACCGACTGAAGACTATGGTCTATGTTCCAGGTCCTGCCATGTGTCACACACCACACAGCCATTCAGCGACGCTGACAGATGATTAACTATGTTCTATGTTCCAGGTCCTAGCAACACAGTAGCAAGACAAATGAACAGAGCCAACCTTCTGGATCTTCCACCTTAATTTTCCCTCTTCTCACTTATTCAAATATTCCTCTAGTGAAGACCAATTACAAGTAGTGTACCCTATTGCTCTATCCACACATCTTCAAAGGTTTTCATCCACCCTTTGGACCAAATCAATCTCATGTCCCTACCCTACATTAACTCCCAGGGGCTCTTTGCTCTTCAAACATTTGCTCCACTCTAATGTACTGGTCCCTGCCCTCACTTTCGTTCTTCTCTTTATATTCTCACCTCTATACGCCCAGATCTTCTCCTATTGATCTTAAAAAAAAAAAAGCTCAAATGCCACCTACATAAGTGTCTTTCCATCTCAAGCCTAATCCTAACTAAATGTCAAGACAGATTTTATTGATTTAAATCACAGTAATTTTGTATCTTTGCTTATGATCTATGCTGAAATTTTAAATTTGTTTTAGAGTTATGAACTCAACTTTTAAATGTATGTGTGTGTGTGTGTATATATGTGTATAATTATAATAAAGACATTTAAAATTTTGTCTTGCCAGGGCCATGGTGTCAGTCGTCAGTTCCTTCCAGCACCTGGAAGCCTCAGGCAGGACCCTAAGTTCCAGGACAGCCTGGGCACACAGTGAGTTAAAGCCCAGGCCGTACAGCTAGCAACTGTCTTAAAAGCAAAAACGGGAGGCTCAGCCACGCGTCAGGTTTAAGAAACACGACTGGGGTCGCAGAGAGAAGATATTCAGGACTATAAACAGAAACTTCTTTGTAGCCAGGCATCTCACCAGACCCCACAGAGTGTGACACAGAAGACATGCATGGCCTTGGGTACCACGGGCCTTTAAATGCTCCAGTATGCTTGCTTCCTTTCATG